TCTCTACATCTGTTCCGGCTTCCAACTCAATCAGCTGACTGAGGGCATTCAAGCTTTCAGTTTCACCAACCTTGCTGCTGTGAAAGTTTAAAAGTGTTCCTTTCTCTGGTACTGTTGCATTGATCTGACACCAAAAAGGACAGCTGCATTTCCAGTGTCAGATCGATGTGACCATCCTCCACCATATTCACCTCTGATCTTCATCACAACCAGTCTTCCCAGTTGGTCTTTCCATTGAGCTCATCAGAAGTCCTGCTCCACTTCTCTTCCACCACCAGAGTATAGACTCCATATTCCTACAGGTACTACTCATGGGATCACTATACCCCCTTAAAGTTTGACATCCCAATGGGGGGTCAATAAATAAATTAATTTATTTTATTCTTAACATCTCTTTCAGTTGAGTCTCTCCTGAATGAAACCTTTTGCAAATATGTTCAATGAACATTTCATAGCACATTATGTTAAAAACGTATTTTTCTCCTTATACTGCTGAAAAGAAAATTCTGATGGCATTATGTTTCCTTCTAAATGTAAATCAACCCATCATTGTGTTTGATGCAAAATGCAGCCCTGTTTTCAACTCAACATAATGTTCTTGTTATTGTCCATTGTGGCTGAACTGATGACCAGAACATAATCACTGTGTCCTGCTGAGAGGCTGTGAACCCTCAACGATTCATTTTTGGTGCTGGTAACTACACATTTTACTGAAATACTGCACTGAAGTATAACTTTGAGGTATTCTACTTCTTCTATTCACGCTACTTTATACTTCTACTGTAATACATTCCAGAGAGAAATATTGAACCTTGTCCTCCAGCACATTTATCTAAAAGATATTAGTTACTTTTATCCCTTGTGTTCTGCTCAAATTTGTTTTTCCTCTGAAAAATATAGTTCATTTCACACACACACACACACACACACACACACACACACACACACACACACACACACACACACACACACACACAAGCACTGCTTTATTCACTGAGCTGTCTAAAGTTTTTGATACAGTTGATCATTCACTTTTAGTAGATAGACTTGCCTCTGTTTGCTTGTACCAGTACACCTGCCAGTGGTTTACAAGCTATCTCTACTACTCAATCCACCTTTCTGACTGTCATTAAAGGTGTACCACAGGGTTCAATTATAGGTCCTTTACTTCTTACTTTGTCAATGAATAATAATATCTCTTTTGATAATGGATGTAAGGTGCTGATGATACTATGCTTTATTCATCTACTTCTACATTGGGAGGAGCATTACCTTTTTTGCAGGCAGCTTTGGACTCAATCCACCACTTAGATCTTAAACTTGTCTTAAATGGAGCAAGAACCAAATATATTCAGTTCTCCAGATCCCGCTCCTTGGAAGAAAGTGACATCAATATTTCCACTTTGGATGGTTCTTCCTTTGGGTATATATTTATGAAAACCTATCCTTAAAAATGCATGTTGATGGGCAAGCTAAGAAGTTAAGGATTTTTTAGAAATTGATCATGATTTTTGAATGCAAGTAGAAAGCTGTTTGTACAGTACTTGACTGTGTTGACACTACATGCATGCTCCAATTTGAAACAGCTTGATACTGTTAATTATTCAGCACTTCATCATTTTAGACCACGACACTGTATTCCTTATCAGGCAAGTAGGATTGGTGACCCTGGCCACTAGGAGAAAACATTTGCTTCTGAATGTTTAAAAAGCAAGGTTACAAAAAGCTACCTAATTACCTGTCATCCCTCATTATATGGCACTCAAATTACTATCAGACAAGATCTCAGGATTAGTTCATTCTTGAGATCCCCCAAGTTAATACTGGGAAAAACTGCTTTTAATTCTCTTGGAATAAGATTCAAGAGACCATCAAGCTGAATGCTCTAGTCCCCCTTATTGCCTATTATTAATTGATAGTGACAGCCGAGGAACAAACAGGAAAGGGGGGCAGAGAGAGAGGGGATGACACACAGCTCTACCAGGTGAGCTATGGCTACACTTTTAATGAAGTAATTAAAACTAGTTCCACCTTGACCACAGTCAACAATCAGACAATCCTGTCCTACAGTACAATCCTATTCTGCTATATACGAATTGTTTCAGTTTTACTATTCTAATATAATCACACCGTTATGTTTTAGTCTCGGGCCATTTTTCTGCATAACTTTTACTTTTGATTGTTTTAATTTTGCTGACACTACTTGCATACTTTTACTTATGTAGAATTTTGATACAGAATATTTACTTGTAATGTATTATTTTTTACAAAAGGAAGTAAAGGATCACCACTGGAAAGACATTGCATCTGACAGACTATAATGTTTTCCAGTTAGTGCTGAATATATCAATACAGTGTAAATTAACAACAACAACATAGTGATACTATAATAATAATAATAATAATAATAATAATAATTTATTAATTAATAAATGTATGGTGCATGGTGATTTTAGTTATTTTAGTATTGTTGTTGTTATTCTTCTATTATTATTATTATTATTATTATTAGTAGTAGTAGTAGTCTTATAGTAATAATATGTTGTCTGTGGTGTGGCTTGAATGCAAGAAACCTGTGCCAGTTGGTTTACTGTAAGTTTCTTTAATGTATGGCTAATATGGAAATGTCAAACACAAATATTAACTAATTAATTCTTAATACAATATATGAATATTAAATGTTAAATGTTGAACATTTGTCTGTCATTTGCTATTGCTTGTGTCCCTCATAGACTGTCAAATGCATGCTGGTCATTTTCCAAAACAGCTTCAATTCTGCTGAGTTTAATTCTACAGCATCTAAATTTGGACTATCAAAGGTCAAAATAATCCATTATCTAACTAACCCTGGTCCCTGATTCTTGAACCCATCTCCATGAAACCTAAACAGAGGACATGATCGCTGTCATAAATTTGTACTAAACTTTAGTCATGTTTGACAGCACCATACATGACTCGGATCAAAATAAATTATCTCATGTCAGCAAGCTCCGCCAAGGAGGCAGCTCACTGTGGAGTGATGGTTAAAATCTGTAATTCTGCAAACATAATTGCAGAACGTGGTCCTGATTGGCAGGAAATATTAATTAAATCTAACAGTTTTTGATGCTATTATATTTGTATTGACACCTGGTCAGTACAGGTCCCAGAAGGCAGCAAAACAAACTATTGTAGGAAATGAATGGCCTTTTTTCCATCTTTCTGTTAGGAACCCCTAATTGTGCACATGGGATGAATCTTTGAACACTGAAATTGAAAGTAGTTTGTTTAACATGACCTTGCTTTGGAGGTGCAGGTGCAAACTGAACCGCTGTCAAAAATGCAGAAACTTGGTCCTGGGTAACACTTTATAATGAGTACACACTATTAAGCATTAGTTAAGCATGAATAAATACTGAATTCATCATTTATAACGCATGAATACACATTAGTATGTAGTTTATAAACACAGTTAAAAATGTTTTATTCATCATGGATAAGCATATTAGTTATGGATTAGTAAATACTGAATTCATCATTTATAAAGCATGTTTCTGCTGTAAACAATGTGTGCTACCAAACAAAGACACATACTCACCACTAGAGCCGCTGACTGCCGCCGACTCCAATGTGCTCCTCCATGCTCCCCTTGGCTGCACTGTCAGAAACTTCTGAGAGTTAACGTAAATATGACGTAACATCCCGCTCTCAGCACGTCATCACGTTGATGACGTGCTGAGAGCGGGAGCTCAACGTACACGTCCCAAACAGATAAGATCACAACAATAGCATGTGTTCATAAACCACCCTTGTTCGTCTTCATACCATATGTTGGGAAGTTGCAGTAAATATCAATACAATATGTTCTATATCCCTTTGTGTTGTTTCTCTTCTTCGTCTGTTAAGATAACTGAACATTTTGTGAGTCTCGAGGCATTGTCAGCCTTTATATCTCATTTGTAAATCCTTAATAAACCATAGATAGTGCTCACTTTAGATAAGCTCGCGCAAAATACTTAATTAACGAGTAGTAAGTGCTTTGTAACTGTGAATTCCTGCATTAATGACTGTTTATAGGCCATCATTAGAAAATGAATTTGTTGTGAGTTTTATAGAACATCTGCTAACACAGTCACTAATCATTAATACATGTCTGAATAGTGGATGTGCAAGTGCATGCAGAAATGTACAGTACAATGAAGAGTAAAACATTTATAACTGTGATTATAAACCACATAGTAATGACTATTTACAGCAGAAACATGCTTTATAAATGATGAATTCAGTATTTACTAATCCATAACTAATGTGCTTATCAATGATGAATAAAACATTTTTAACTGTGTTTATAAACTACGTACTAATGTGTATTCATGTGTTATAAATGATGAATTCAGTATTTATTCATGCTTAACTAATGCTTAATAGTGTGTACTCATTATAAAGTGTTACCTGGTCCTGTTTTATAGATGCATTTTTGTTGAGGTGTCAAGCTAACTGAACTATATTTTTACATTGCATCCCCGTGACTGGCTTATTTCAAAATAAAAGTCAACAATTTTTTCAGCATTTAAAAACGCTGCAGCAGTTGGAAATTTGTTTTTTGTAACTTAATACAGCATTTTTTCCGGACATAAAGTTTATTAGTAAACTTTATAAGTGGTTATTTTAAAAACCTAAAAGATCCATGTTTTTTTTTTTTAGGGACTGGAGACCTAGAAGGCAACCCGCGCTCGGTTGGGCACACAAATCCCTGAATAGAGATGAAAGGGGACTTGGTCATGGATACATAGTAGCTATTTATAGACACAGCCACCTGTTGGAGGTTGCTTGGAGGCCAACTAATGACAAACATACTACAAATATAGAAATGACAACATAAATAGGTATGGACAAAAAAGGCATTGAATAATAATAATAATAATAATAATAATAATAATAATAATAATAATAATAACTAATTGACTTGTGAATAATTAATGAATGTATTGTTATTTCGGGTAATTTGGTTGGACAGGGCCAGCCCAGCAGACGCTGAACAGAGGAATCCTGTCCACGCCTTCTTCACCCCATCAGTGCTCTGTCCACGTTCACTCCAGCCAGACACACAAACTGCCAACTGACAAGGTAAGACTTCACTAAGGCTTTACATAAATCAGTATTGGTAGATTCACTGCCATGATACGTATTTTTTTTTTAATCGTTCGTATGGCTCTCTGAGTGAGCGCGTCTCTCTCCAATGCGTGCGTCTCCTTATTGAATCCAGCTGTGCGCGGCTTCCACTCCACAAGCTTGCTATTTGTTCAGTCTGTGTCTTTTGAAAGTAAAGCGGTTCCACAAGTCAGCTGCGCGCACGCAGTCACTTGCGTCTTCATATTCACTTACGGCCTTATTGTTTCCGAATATCTGAGTATTATAACTAAGAGGCTTCTAAAGTAACACCCTTACCGCGGAAATTACCAACTCTCTCCTCTCTCTCTCTCTCTCGCTCTCTTTCTCTCTCTCACACACACAAACACACACACACACACACGACGCTCTGTAGCATTTAATTGTATTCTTCTAGGAACTGGACCTTTGATCCACACTTTGCTTAACCGTGGGTTGAAACCAGGAAACCAGTGCCAGCGGGTTTACTGCCAGCTTCTTTACTGTATGGCCCTTATAGAAATGTAAAAGTACGGTATCTGTACTGTTAAATACAAAACTGGTGTACAAAGCAAGAACATCTCTGTGATAAAGTACAGTTAAGGTCAAGTGTGGTGTGCTGGTACATGAGACATAGCGTGCATTTTATTATTAGTTATTCATGTAATAATTTTAATACAATTTTAATATATAAAGATTCATAATGTGGTGTTAATTTATGCATTATTTTTCTTCCCCCAGGATTTTCTATGGCGACACTTTCTCAATGTACACATTTCGCCTTTCTTCTTCTGTTGCCTCACTTCCTGAGTGCATCACCTGCCACCCAAGATGACCTTGTAATAAATACTAAGCAAGGGAAAGTTCAAGGGAAGTTGCTTTCAGTGTTGGGTGGTGATGTTACAGCATTTCTTGGAATTCCTTACGGAAAACCACCCCTGGGTAAACTGAGATTCAGAGCTCCAGAGCCAGCAGAGGGATGGGAAGGGATAAGGTATGCCACCCAATTCCCAAATTCCTGCTACCAGATTCCGGATACAGCCTTTCCAGGTAGGATACATGTTTACACGGATGGACACAGTGCATACATGTACTGTATACTATGCTGTGTTCATGTACTGTGAATTATTCAAGTGTGTGTTGTGAGAGTTCAGGTAATTCATTAAAACACCTTCCTGAAATGTCAGCCATGATTGTGATACCTCACCAGGACTATATGGAGTCCCTGCGGCCAACAAAGATATATTTTTTTATGTGTAAATATATAAATGTTTTTGTGCAAACAAAATTTTATTTTGTGTAGGTGTTGTTATTAGGTGCAAAAAACATCCAATCCATATATTCTGCACACAAGTGATTATCTTGGTGGAAAAACTATGAATTAATATGGCAAAAATATTACTGAAAAAAACATTTTGTAGGCGTAAATATTAAATACTACTCTTTTGATATTGAATAATGACCACATGAAGGTAAAATGTTGTATGTTTAGTGTCTGCTGGACAGCATTTCTTGCAAAAACAAGTAGCATAGCATTTTTGTGCATGAAACTCAGTATGAGCTAATAATAATAAGGAGGTACTGAGTCCAATTTCAGTTCATTCATTACAAACTTTAATCTATCCTTGTAGCAGTTGAACTTTGGGGGATTCACAAGAGAAAAAGAAGGTCAAAATTTATGCTTATTTATATTTCACCCTCTGAAAATCTTAAAATCCACACTTCCCACAATTCAGCTGTTACGCTGTCTCTGCCTGGTAAATGCTAACATCTTTTAAATGTTTATCATCTTCTATGGGGTGCCCTGGTAGCTCACTTGGTAGAGCTGGCATCCCATGTCTCGTACTTGCTGTAGCGTGTTCGACTCTGTCTTGTGGCTGTGTCACTCTACAGCTGTCACTATTGATTAAAGTCAATGAAAGTAAAAAAATAATTAATTCATTAAAAGTATATACATTTTAAATCTCCAAGCACAATATAAGATGAAATTATAGGGCCACTCTAGTAACTTCAGGGAGGTGTTTCAGTGGGGGTGGCAGTTACATAACATCATGTCACACATACACACCCACAGATAGTGTGTGAGTGGTTGAACGATTTATTACTATATTGTGGGCAGTAATAATGGATAATGGATGGTACGAGACTGTTTGGAGCCATTTCATCAGTTTATCAAACAAAGGTATCATACAACGAAAGGTAGTATAACAAAATTAAAGTTTGAAATTACTTCATGCTACACATATTGATGATTCAAAAATATAAAAATCAGAATCCCAAGTGAGTACCCCCCACCCCTATGAACATACAAAATTAAGAACAAGATAGAAGCGCTAAAATGTTAATACAAAATAAATATTAAACTAAGGCTTTGATACTTAAGCAGGCACAAAATAAAATACATTATGTAATGACACCGTAAAATAACGTGTAGTCTTAACGAGACCCAGCAGTGGAGTCTCAATCTCACACTGAGGGGAAAGCTGTTCCAAAGCCGAGGAGCCATAAAGTGCACGGTCACCTTTGGTCTTCAGTCTGGTTGGTGGAACAACTAAAAGTTTTTGATCAGCTGATCTTAGGGGCATGGCTGAGCTGCAAGGTGTTAAAAGATATCTGATGTAGTTGTGAGACCTAGATTTAGTCGATAATCTGGCTGCGGAGTTTTGAATTTATTGCAGTTGTGAGACTGAGAAGGGGTTCAAACAGGTGAAAAGAGAGTTACAGTTGTCCAAGCGTGACAATATAAAAGCATGTACACAGAGAAATAGGGGTGTCATTTCTGTACCCAAAGATTGCCTGGGAATAATTTCAGGAGCAAAGGACTAGGACACCACTTCTACCAGAGTGAAATCCTTCCACTAGCCATTACCATTACTCTTAATTTTATTTAATTTAAGTATTATCTGTTTTATTGTTAATCAATTTTCTCATTCTTCCCATTCCTCCATGGGGGCGTGTTTTTCTGTATTTACTTTATCCCTCCATAAACTAAAATAAACAAACTTTGCAGTTTGGTGAACCAAGGAAAGACTGTACACGCCCTGGAAATAATTCTACAGTGCATCTTTTTTGTGTCTGGGGGAATGTAAACAGGTCCCCCACCCAAGACAAGAATTGGGGCTGGGTCATGGATACATAGCTATTTATAGACATAGCCACCTGTCAGGGGTAGATTGGATGCCAGCTATGACCATTAGCAAGCACACCAGGCAGAGGAAATGCAATGAAATATCCAAATATAGATATGACAACACAAATAGATATGGACAGAAGGTATTGATGTTAGACTGATGTTTATGCTTTGGACAAAGCACTCATTAAGAGGAAAACAAACTATGGAATTATTTATTTATTAACTGCCTAACTGTTTGACTATTAATATTGCTTGTAATTAAGTGTCATAATGAAGTGGAACTTTCGCTCACTCTAAAGATCTGAAGGAACAAAAATAACACTATCATCTACACTACATCTATCAGTTATTAGACTGCTGTCCCAATCAGTCTCTATTGAAACAGCTTCATACGATCATTCTTTTCAGGGTTCAAAGGTGCAGAGATGTGGAACCCAAACACTCCTCTGAGTGAGGACTGTCTGTACCTAAACGTCTGGTCCCCCCGTTTCAACAAAACACAGAAAGCACTGGCTCCTGTCCTTGTCTGGATTTATGGTGGCGGGTTCACTGTAGGAACATCCTCTCTGGACATTTATGATGGTCGTTTCCTGAGTAAATCTGAAGGTGTTGTTGTGGTATCAATGAATTACAGGTAAGAACTAGAGTAAACTGAAAATATAAAATGCCAATAAAGAGTGGCTATAGTTACTGTATGGAACTGGAAACTCATTGACAACTAATAATGATTTGGAAACATACATAGACGTTGTGTAAAACTAAGGTAAGCTATTTTGGGTGCATTAAACAGAGCAAAGGAATTTATAAACAGGAAAGCCTTATCACCATGTCCGAAACCCTTCTCTCTACTCATTTAGATTAGAGAGTAAGTAATTGTGCTATTTATCCCCAGTTAAATGCTGTCAACATCAGTATTGTGCTCATCCATGACAGAGTCGGACCTTTGGGTTTCCTGTCTCTTCCTGACAACAAGAACATTCGGGGCAATGCGGGTCTGCTGGACCAGCGCTTGGCCCTCCAATGGGTAGCCAATAATATTGCTGATTTTGGAGGTGATTCTTCAAAGGTAAAATGTTTGTCGACAAGTGCATCCTAAAATCAGATCACAGATGACATCTGATCATGTTTATATTGTTTAAACAAACAATAAAAGAAGCTGTTGGTTTGTGATTTCCTGTTGTTTCTAGGTGACTCTGTTTGGGGAGAGTGCTGGATCAGCATCTGTGGGCTTCCACTTGCTCTCACCAGGCAGCCATGGTCTTTTTCAAAGGGCTGTAATGCAGAGTGGCTCTCCTAATTCACCCTGGGCCACAACCCACCAGACTGAGGCCTGGTACAGGTAGGGTGCATTCATTTAGTCACTAATTAATTTGATTTATTTAGTCGCTCATCTTTATTCTCCCTCTGTCACTCATGTGATATGTAAGGACACACTTGTATTTACTGTCTCATTTATTGTTTGAAGCTGCAACATTAAATGAATAGGATACATGCTCTGTATCATGTGTCATGATCAGTTAGCGTTCACACACATAAAATATCATTAACACAAATGGGGACTCACAGGGTACCAACATTTAATGTTCCAGAGAGAACAGTGTCATATAACACAATTTGCGTCCCACTAAATTTGATCAATATCATCCACATATACACATGGTGATTGGTCAAAGATTTTCAATACATTGCTTCTCTTTCTAATTGCATCCACAACCACCTCCCCTTCTTACCCTTGCTATCCTATTCTAGTCATTCCTTCTGTCACTGATTGCTCCTACACTATGTCAATATCCAGGTCCTCAAAGCTGGCGACGTTACTGGGGTGTCCCACGTCTAATGCAGCTCATCTGGAAGCGTGTCTGCAGCAGGCTGATCCTGGGAAAATCACAGCGAAGCAAAATGATGTTCTTTCGCACCCTACAATCTTAGCCTTAGCTTTTGGCCCTGTTGTTGACAGAGACTTCCTACCAGATAATGTTGAAGTAGGTGTGTGTGTGTGCGCGCAGGTGTGTGTATGGTAATGGCGGGTATGTGGAGTTGTCATTAAGTGTGAATGTGAACATGAAACATGGTTTTAGTTTATTTCGGATAAAATATAAATGTAACAAATGTCAATCCCCCAAAGCTTTTTTTTTTCATTTTGAATTTTAATTACAATATTTCCTGATACTACCCTTTTATGGACACACAAATGTTGCAATCCCATCCTGTATTTTTTAACATTAGTTTTTTTTAAATCCTTAGTTTGAAAAATATCTTGCATCACAGACACTTTTTTTGTTTTCCTTGCAGGTGTTGCTGAGTACCAGTAAGCTCCCAAAGAAAGAGGTGCTGTTAGGCCTAAACACTGATGAAGGGACCTACTTCCTTTTGTATGGAGTACCTGGATTTACCATCGACGGTCAGAGTCTCATCTCCAGGAATGAGTTTCTGAATGGAGTGAACCTTACAATGACAAATGCGGGTGATGTCTCCAGAGAAGCGGTCATTTTCCAGTACACTGATTGGACAGATGAGAACAACCGGATGAAAAATCGTGACTCACTGGGTTACCTGGTCGGAGACGGACTGTTCGTTTGTCCATTGCTAGAGTTCACTCACAGGTAAAGAGCACTTTTGACATTTAGGAACATTGACATGATGGGTGACCACATAAGTTGATGGAATTTGACTGAGAAGGAAGGTTTTAGTTTTCAACAAAGTTAAAGCCAATAAAGGTAGTACGTTAGGGTAGTTAAAGTTTTATCTGTAACCTGATGTTCAGACCGAAAAGAAAAAATGCACAGGGCTGCATTGGTGGGGTCGTCTTGTTCTTATACATCAGAAGGTGCAGATCCAAAGCTAGTAGATTATGAAGGACTGTCACGACCCCAGCAATAGACTACTTTCAGCTTCTGTGGCTCTGTAGCCACAAGTCCAACACAGAGACAAGAGGAGAAAAAAAAAAAATCTCAGGCCACAAGGATGGTAAACTGACTGAGTGACTCTGACTTCTGTATATCCTCAGCAAGTCTGCCACATTTTCTTCAGTGAATCCTTTGCGCTACCCTGCAGATTGCGTATAACTTGTAACACATGTACGTTTTACCTTTTTAATATATATTTATAATTTAATTGTCAATCATAGCTGTCATATCTTTTATATATGTTTTTCTAATCCTCTCACACTAGATTTCTAGCTTGACCTTAGGGGCGAGCCACATTGCATTCAACTAGACATGTTATTTGTGCATGTGACAATCTTTAACAATCCAGGAAGCCCAGTTTGAGTAATCCCTGGGTTTGACACCAAACACAGTGGCAATCATTTGATCACGATGAGCACAAGAGAAGTGAAGTAGAAATGGCATGTTCACATTAGAAAGTAATCTACCAGAAATGTGCTCTCGCATTGGTATTTGATGGGCCAATGCAGAGGCTTTCGGGATAAGGTTGCATTGCATTGCAGCTAAAATTAAGCCACGCACTTGTTACTTGTTTTGGGTTTTTTGATTTGTTTGTCTGTGAGTGTCCTTTGCATCGCCTCGCTGCTTCAATGCAGTACTCCTCTTCAAATGAATGAGGGGGCTGCATTTTTTCATGCAGTGCTGTTGTCGGTCTGAACACGCCTTACTGTCATGTCCAACTAGATGGTTTGGCTCACATTACATTACACAACATCCTAAACAATAGGAACAGTCAAATCTAATTTCTCAAGGTTGTTACATGTGTTTGCGTTTTATTTTCTCTAATTAACCTGACTCATTTTATTATTGTAATTTGTTTTTCCCAGGTACTCGCAACATGGTGGTAAGACTTTCCTATATTTGTTCGACCACCGGTCATCCATCAATCCTTGGCCAGCATGGATGGGTGTCATGCACGGTTATGAGATAGAATTTGTCTTCGGAAAGCCTCTGGATGCATCCCTGGGATACATGAAGAATGAAGTAAACATGACCAAGAGGATCATGAAACACTGGGCCAACTTTGCCCGGACAGGGTACACAAAAGCAGATTCATAACCAGTCACTTGAGCTGTGTGAGACACTGTTGACACTGTCTTGACTGGCTTTTGTTTTTGTCAGGAATCCAAGCATTGACGGAGCTAACTGGCCCGAATTCACCCCTGAACTGCAGGAGTATGTCACTTTGAACTCCAACCATCCCGAACAAAAGAGGATGATGAAAGCTAAAGAGTGTCACCTCTGGAGCAAACTAATGCCCAAAATAGACAAAGTCTCAGGTTAGAGACACACACACACACACACACACACACACACACACACAAACTATCTATCAATCTATCTATCTATCTATCTATCTATCTATCTATCTATCTATCTATCTATCTATCGATCTATCGATCTATCGATCTATTTGACTCACACACACACACACACACACACACACACACACACACACACACCCTCACACATAACACATAACTCTATATAGTTATCTGTAGTAGGAGGCATTGAGTCAGGCTCTGACAGAGAGGCGTTGCCTTGTTTAGCCTGTGGAGGAGATATCTTGGCTTGCTCCCCCTCCATTCCAGCGCTGTTCTGGAGGTCTGGGTGGGTGGAGAGGAGGGTCAGTCATCACTTCACTGAACACTGATCACTCACAGGATGAATAATACTCATACACCTCCCCACTTAGGTCGTTATTCACACACACACACACACACACACACACACACACACACACACACACACGCACACATCTGCACATGTATAATTTTTGGTATACATTATACATAGACATATATGTGTATATATATATATATATATATATATATATATATATATGCACAAATTAGCATACATTAAACAATCCTCTTGTAAAAGATCACAACATAAAATTATCTCTGTCTGTATTTTTCTCCACAGATGATCTGCTGTCCTGTGTTAAGGCAAATGCGATTATACTCTGTTGTAATTACAAGTTTCTCCTCATTTTATTGGCTATAACTTTGAACTATTGCTAGAGAGAAGAGAGGTCCTGCCTGGGCAGCACTATTTCATACAAACTGTTTTCAACAGTTTACAGTAAAATATTGGACAGAAAGAATTAACAAAAATTGGTCTCTACTATTATGTGAACTATTTTATGTTATTACTAGGGGTCCAGCGGATCACAGAAATCATGGTTCAGATTGTATCAGTCAAAAAAAATAAAAAAGTTTGTGTGTGTGTGTGTGTGTTTGTGTATTTATGTACACTGTATTATAATTAACTGTAATATAACTGATTATTATACACTGTACAGTATAATATTACAACATAATGTCCCGCCCACAACAATATCTGATTGGTTACACATCATGAGTAATACTATCAACACTGAAAGCTGCTGTGTCACAGACAGCTGAGACTTGAGCTGCTCTGGTGAGTGGAGTGGAGAGTTTGTTTTCTTTTTGTATCCTTTTGCAGAGAAAGGTTTTTTTTTTTTTTTTTTGCCTTATGAACCTTACAAAAAAATAAATAATTGCAGTTGCTCACATATAATGGTAGCTATACCTGCTGCAAGAATACAGAGCTGGGGAGCATTATGACATAGCCATTTTATTTCTGATCACTAGTTAATATTCAGCTACCATTTTTTCATTTGCTTATGTCTTTCTTTTAAAGGTGTCCAGTGTATAAATGGTGCTTACAGTTAGTTTAGACTGATTTAAATGTGAGTGCACTCATATTGGTAAATCTGAGATTAGTTCATTAATATAATCCAGTTGACTTCATATGCATGATTTCCTTGCTGACAAGTAAAGTTGAGGGAATCATTATTTTTCCATGCTACATCATCATCATCATCACAAAAACAATCAGGGATTCTATGGATTTGTATTGATGTATTTTCTCTTGTACTGATCAGTAAAGACCATGTAATGATCATTAAATATGAGTTTTTCTTAAAATCTATTATTTTTATCAATTATGTTGACTGATTAATTGTCTGACAAATGCACAACAACAAAATCACTTGTTTCTAATTCCTGTGTTGTTCGCAGACTTAATATGTAGAGTTTTTAGGAGGGAAGTCTGTATTTTGTGTTTATTGTGTGTATTAAAATGGGTTGAAATCCAATTGAAAAAGAAATTATAGAGAAAGACAAAAGAAAATCTGATTTTAGCTGAAATACTATTATTTAACTGAGGGTACATAATCAGCAGTTTATACAAATTGTATTCTTCTTTTCACATTCCATCATCATTTCCTGAAATATGCAGTAGCCAGTGTCTTCTTGATGAAGTAAGTCCAGTCACCCCCGCCATAACCACATGATCTTAAGCAGCAGAAAGTTTCAAGGAAAGATAAGTTATTTATAGTGTCAATGCCAAACAATTTCATAGCTGCCATTAGTACTTGCTGAATGATATTTATTCTTGTCATCAGAAGTGTTTCACAGTTTAGCATACTGTGTTATTCTTCCTCGTTCTGTCACCGTAGACAGTAATGTGATAATAAATAGTGGCACTGAGCAAAGGTCAGAAAAGGACAAAAAGCTAATGAGATGTTGGAGAAGTGCTTTGGTTGAATGACCTTGAACGCTATTTAAAATCCTCTGGTGCAAAAGTAATTACATTGTTTGAGCATCTGGTACGAAGTGTGTGTGCGTGTGTGTGTGCGGGGGGGCATTTTAAAATTTTTTCAAAAAGTTGCAAAGACTTCTAATATGACTCTAATGTGTTGCTGCGTGTAACAATTTGTGTTTCAGACACACTGAACTTGTTGTTGTTAAATGTCAAGCAATTTATTTTTGTCATAACAACAACATAACAACACGAACGCACACACACACCTATACAATCTCACACGCATGAGCTCTCTTTGTATTTGACTTTTTAAATTGGCTGATGTACGATGGCTCCTGAGCATTGCTTACAGCATGTGGTTTATGTGCCTATGTCTGACACTGTTTAAGGAAAGGATGAAAAGTAAGATACAGACTGAGTGCAGGGAAGTTGCAGGAGGAGTATATTTGGCAAAGGTGGTCTGTTGAGACCTGACCGCTGGCATTAGCAGTGACATCACCACACACTAGTTTCTGAAAACGTTTGGTATTTTCCAAAGAGAATCACAATGTGCCTCATCCATAATGGATGAGGGAGGGCGAGGGAGGCTTAGAGACAGAGGAAGAGAGAGAAGAAGACTACAAAGAAAAAGAAGACACAAAGGAGATCTTTGTAAATGATTATAAAGACATCTTGGAAGATACAGTGCAGGGCTTACTTCAGCCCTCACTGAGCATCTTCACTATGTTAAGTCAAGGTGATGCTCCTCTCTTGTCGTGACCACAGGGATCAAGAAAAGCTGAACAAAAAAAAAAGTAGACAACTGTTTAACCTTTTTCACCGCCACTCAAGTGGGAATGAGGCAGGGTTTTTGCCCTTGGCTGCATCTGTTCTGTATTTTTGTGGCTCATATGTGTCGCAGTAGGCGGACAGGGTTAGGTGGAATAGGTGGAGTGGCAATCATATTGCCACAGCAGTTTTTGTCTAGAGACCACTCCAAAATCACAAACTAATATTGTAGGCCTTTTCACATGGTTATATTATTGGATCATACAGAAAAGGTAAAGTTAATGTTAATCCATTTATGAAAACAAGACAAAAAGTCTACAGCCATGTTGCTGAGACATATGGTGCTTTGAGCTTAATACAGTGCCAGCATGCAAAAAACAAAGAGAGTGATTTAATGTAAAGATATAATGTTTACCATGTCTACCATCTTAAGTGTGTTAGCTTGCTAACATTTGCTAACACAAAGCTGATGGGAATGCAATTAGTAATGCTGGTATTTGATCATAAACCAAAGGTAGCCTTCTTCACAAAGGGACATTTTTACCAGATGAAAGTGCCACGTCAAAGCCAATTCATTGAGATATTTCAGTCAGATCACAGTGGTGGACCGGCCGACAACCTGGAACATGGCTAAAAACAAAAACGTAGTTAGGTGTTCTGACTATTTGTTGTTTCCCAGCAGCAGCAACTTCGACAACTGTAGAAGTCGATAGTGACAGAGATGAAAAGATTCAGTTTTTTTAATGCTTTATAAACGGCAGCTGTCTGTACACATACTGCATGCATCAAGTCGTCCTAATTGTATTGTTATGTGTGGTTTTGACTTCTCTGAGTTCTTCTCTGACTTTTTTGACATGAGCTCTACAGCCCCTGTATCATTACACTTGAGAAAACTATAGTTTCATCACCAAATTATATACTAATGATATTTTTTGAGCGACAAACAGCAGTGTCACAGGAGGTTAGTTGTTTTGACTCATGTCAGTGGTACAGTTTAGTTCTCAGACATGACACTCTGACAGATATCAGGGGAGAGCTGTGATTAATGTGCATGATAGTGACAGCTTCATTAATTAAAGGACAACACCTCCCACTGTGTGTCATGTGAAATTACTATTACCAATCCCCAGGCACAGTCAAGGCAGAGCGCATTGTCAAAAGAGTGACAATGCTGGATGTGAGAGACTTTTTTCACATGATGGAAATGTGGGGAGTTTTCGAGAAAATTGCAGTCCTTATAAAAGGTACCCTTCAAAGATATTTGAAGCATTGCATGAAATTTAAATTCTGAATGGGATGTCAGTGCTCATATTCACAGAGAAATCAAGCTTTTTTTGGTTTCAAAATATTTCTTATGCTTTGTTTTCATATCATTCTGTACCATACAGCTTATATAAACCTCAAGTAAATAATTAGGAGCCTTACAGTGAACATATTTAATAACCATGGAATGCAGAGCCACTCTGTAGATTATCTGGGTCCAAGCAGTGTAGTCCACATGTCCTTTTTCTGACAATCTTCCTATGTGTCCCTTCTCGATGCATATTCAGGCCAGCCGAGAGATGTCCTTCTTCGTGTCTGCCCTCGTCTCTCAATCAGTCAGCTGTTCCGAGTTTTTCATCCAAAGGAGGCACCCACTTGGCAACCCTACTAGGTGCCTTGCCCACTGCAAATGGCTCTTCTTCCCTGTAATGGCTTGACTCTGTGGTACTGGCACGTTTGCAACTGTGGTGAATAAAAAATTATGCCAAATTTTTGATAATAAATTACACAGATTTAGTTTCAGGCATTTTTCAATAAATATTTGATATTATTATCATATATGAATATAAACTAGATATGTCTTGGGTTTGAAGTGATAATGGGATAAAACAAGCAACCCTTGGTTCTGTAAAGTTAGAACAGGCATTTTTCACATTTTCAGACAAAATGAAAATGATTCATCAATACTGAAAATATTCATTATTTGTAGCCCTGCATGCTGAGTATGAGCAATTGTTTTTTTTAATTGAGAGGCCCAAGCAACACAGAGTGTACAATACGAGTACGATAAGCCCTTATTGTAGCAAAGGACACAAATGTGTGTGTGCGTAATCAGATTTGTAAATGAATAAAAAATCTGCAAATTGGTATACAGTGGACAAATCTGTAAATGCAGACATACTGTACATATTAATAGCTGAGAAAAAAAGAATACAGACAATTTAACGCTTACATCTCAGGCAAACGTGACTGTTGCTACACTACTGCTGTGGCAGATCTGCAAATGCGTGTGGTGATTTGTGTGTGTGAGGAGAGATTTGTCTGTGTGCCCCAGTAGCTATACAGCCTAAATATCACCAGTTGGTGGTAGCGTGCATTGCTGCACTGTCTATTGTTTTTTAACCTACTTTAGATGAAACCAGGAAAATAACGATATGGAGCTCTAAATTTGATGCATTTGCTGTTTATCCGACCACAGATGAGTCAAGGATTAGGTTGGAAAAACAATAGATGAAAAATGATCCTCACTGATTAATGTACACAAACACAACTTTAAACTTTATTCACTGCTTTTGGTGAAAGTGGATCATATTTCATGGAGAAAAGATTATCTGGTTTTTCCCTCTGATGTCTTGCTGATCTTGGCTGCTCTCTGCCTCATCTCTCTGTGATTTATTTACTGATGGGCAGATAACATTAGCTTTATTGTTGTAGTAAGTATGTGACTAGCTAGTTAACTGTATAGTTTGCTAAGCACAGTGTGGGTTTTCTTGCCAGGTTTAGCTCCTGTCTCCCCGTCTGAATCCCCATTGTCTTCGTCATCCCCAGAACCACTGTAAATCACCGTGGTACTGTATTACCTGACGTTAAACTGCCTCCATCAGTCCAGAGGATGTTTGGTCTTGGTCCATGTCCATTTTTCAAACTACTGTAAGTTTCTTACGCCCTCAAGACTTGCGTCAGACACAAGTGGGCGTGGCTACTGAGGCAAATCTGTTCTCTAGGGGGCACATCTTTGGCCTAATCCTCCTGACTGAACATACATTTATGTTGTTTAGTTGTATATTTTTATAAAGTCAGAATCAGACCAACCCTCACCACTGCAAAAGGGGTTCTTGACAGTACGCGGCAAACAGCACCAGCGTACTGTGGCCTGTATTGTCGCTGATTGTGCCCCCTTAGTACCCCTTAATAGGATCCCCGCCAGCCAAGTCGATTGGTTGCGAACAGGCAGAACACAGAGAGATTTAAAGCTCACAGCCTGTTTGCTGTATTATCTTGCTGTTTTTCCTAACTATAAAAAAGAAGTGGAGAAGCAATCTTGTGGGCTCATGTGTTCCGCTCACAAACTTATTCTCATTCAACAACTCAACCCTAAATGTCTGACAGAGTCCTGTTGTTAGTTTAGTCAATCTTACTTTTTTATCCTTTATCTGAAATAATTCATCAGCAGTTGTTATTTAGTAGTGTTGTTGAATGATTCCGTTCCAAATCTTGACATTTAAAGGTCCAGTGTGTAGGATTTTGTGGCATCTAGTGGTGTAGAAACATGGCGGTTCAACATTACGGCCTCTACAGAAGGTGACCTGCAGCTCATATGGATAAAAATGGCTCATACAACATACCTATGAA